TATCCCCTGTGTGCCTTGTCGACTCAGTCGGGGATGCGGTTTCCAGCGTCATAAAGTTGGAATCTTTCTCTTTAATTTGAAAAAAAAACAAGTCGCTACGATTTTTTTCACAAAGTTACAGCATTTTAAAGTAACCCTTGTATTTTTCTCATGTATGTTTGGCATTATCCGATGTGCACTATAGGGAGGTTGGTAAACGGATTTTACACATTGTGTGAGTGCGGACGTGTGTAAAACATACACACATACACATACGGTGTGCAAAATCCGATCGTCAACCTACCTATAGTGCACATCGGATAATGTTGATCATACATGTGAAAAATACAAGGGTTACTTCAAAATGCTGTAACTTTGTGAAAAAAAATCGTAGCGACTTTGTTTTTTTTTTTTCAAATTTAAAGAGAAAGATTCCAACTTTATGACGCTGGAAACCGCATCCCCGGAAAAAATTTTAGCAAATCCGTGCACTCGTTCAAACTTTGCAATTTTCAGTGTGGCAAACATGCTCCCAGATGTAAGAGTTTACAGCAACAGGGGTGCATTAAATTTAAAATCGACTCAGTATCTTAAAGTAGAGATTTCAAGCTTTCATTTGAAAAAAAGTTCATCATTTTATGATGATTTTTCGCGGTTACCGTTAGCCAAAGTTGACCAATTTTTGCTCAAAATTTTTCTATGCCATAATTTTTTTGAGCAGTGTATTTAGATTCACGTAAGAATATGTTGCATAAATTTACGTATTACTTATATTTTATTAGTTCTTGAGCGTAACATTAAGAAGAATTATACTTATTTTAACGGATTCTTAGTAAGAGATAGAGTGATATGTCTAGAATCGTTCGCCACTCTTTCGCTACATCACTCGTTCAAAAGAAAATAATCTCTTGTATCGTTATTATTAATTACAATCAGATCTCTCGTAAATGTATCGAATCTTTTGCGCAATGTTTACGATCTTGCTAAAATTTAATTGCCTCAATAATGAGCAAATCTGCTCTTTTTTCGTGGCGAGACAATTCTCTTTGCAGTTTACCGCATCCCGAGCCTTTCGAAAAAAATCGAATTTAAGTACTATCACTTTTCTTTATGATTTTCGATTGTCGATTGATCCAGCCAATGAATTCAGCCTATTATAAGTGCACCTATTTTGCGCAGTAAACGTTATTAGGTTTTCCGTCATTCTTACGACCTTCACCGCGTGTTCTTACGCGCCTTCTTTCCAAGAATACAGAACGATAAACTCCTGACCGGATCTCATACGTAATAAAATCGCTATATATGAAATAATAGAGTAGAGTTGCATTCAGATTGCGTGATTGATTCGTCTCGCATATTTTATCGCGAATTCATGACTGTTATTCCGTGTTTCGACGTTCGTTTTAAAATCTATATTTAGTATTAGATTATATCTGTTCTATATCGTCACATTCCATTACGCATATTTTATAAGCACAATGCACTATTATTACGTTTATCACATTTTATTTAAAATAATGATTAAACAATGGAGATTCTTCATTGATTACGTTTATTCACTTGAATGATACAGTTGACCTGATTAATACAAAAGATTTAATGATAGGTGCAATATGTTCACTGTTTTCAAACGTTCGAATATTTTTGTTATTTTAACACAGAAAAAGATTTCTAAGAAAATTAAAATTTAATTAAATCAATCTCTAATCGAAGTAATTTATTAAATCATAAAATTCAATTTTTTAATTGACTTAATTCTTAAATCACTGAAATGATCTCCTACAGAATATTTATGATACATCTTTCATTTCTTTTTTCAACTGTCACGTAACATGATTGCTTATACACGCAAGATATTGCAGAAGTTATGAGAAATGCGAAGCGGAAACGTGGTAGATCAACGCGACGGCATAAATCTTGCCTCGGCAATGTCAAGCTCGACTAGTTGGCCGAGAAAGGATAAAACAGTACTTCGTGTTCCTTCTTTCTTTTTTTTCTTTTCTTTAATTTATCATCATGGGACCGTCACGGTACTGCCGCGGGCAGTCAATTGCTTAAACAGTCAGTGATTATTGCACAAGCATTACATAAGCAAACAGATGGATCGAGCAGGTAAGGGAGAGGAGCGATGCGCCGAGAGGAAGCAGTCGAGAAGACAGGAAAAAAGACGCAAATTGCTGCCACTGGGAGCAATTCACATCCATCACGCGTGTTATATGCAATTAACAATCTTCTCGTCTGCTTCTCTCTCTATTTTTTCTCCTTTTCTTTCTTTTTTTCTCTTTTTCTCTGCCACATTGTTCTTTAGCTTCCGTTTATGAATAACTAATTATTCCATTTGAAATATTTAAGACATTCTATATTATTCGTGAAACGAAGATCCGCGTGACGAGATAATTATTCATAATAATAAAATGAAAAAAATTGCCTACAAATAATCATTTCGTATAGTTTTAATTTCAATCTTTTTTTATACTGATAAATATAATATTATTTATAAATAATTAATTTATATTTTTTATATATTGGAATTGATTTTAAAATTTTTTTTACATATTGAAATTATGCGAAAAAGGAAATATAAAATTATACAATATTTCATACAGAAATTATTATCTATAAAAACGAATTACATAAGAAATAATAATTATTCTCGTCGATATCACATAACGGTATGTTGCAACGGAGAAAACGACTGTATTGTCATGATACCGTAAGAATGAATCGAAATAAACCTAAATTGTAGCTGACAAGGGCGAGAAGACGATTGTGATTGCTCTGAAAAGTACGGCCTTGGCACGCTTGGAAAGGACTGCTCTCCCAATAGGATACTTTCTGTTCTTTACTCGATGACGAAATTATCATCGCAATTGTTCACCCGTCACCGAGTAAATAATTCATAGGATAATCGTTTGATTGATTCGACGACTCCAACTACGCGCCAAGCTCGAAATTCGAACAATAATAATCGACGCGAGGTGAAAGTACGCGAATGACGGGGCGAATACTTCGTGGCATCGTGCCAACGGGCGTAATCGTCGCGAAAACAACCGTCGTAATCGTCACGAGTGATTTGACATTCCGGACTTCGATACTTTTACGTGGCGGATGTGACGTGCCGAGATTCTAATTAAGATCGCGGTTTCTAAAATAATTTGTGCATCGAAAACTGTGCGTCGACAACGATTGCAAAATTATGAAAGAAATCGGATCGCTGTCTTCGTTGATTTTTTTTTTTTTCGAAATTCGTGTAAATTGCGCGAAAATTATATATTTTCCTCGCCCACGCTTCTGTCATCGGGAGAAACGCGTTTACTCGGTCGCAGGACAGTCTGCATTCTCGAATGCACGTAGGAGCGAAAATAAATGCACGCTCGACTTGCTGTCGTCGTGCTTTCTTCTCGCTTTTCGTTTTGCTGCTTATCGTGCTTTTTCTTTCCGGAGCACTCGTCGCAAGTATAGGAGCCCGTCGTCATTGCCGTCGTCGTTCGGAATTAATGGCGTCGAGACGTCCGAACCTGATTCATCGACGCCTACTAAACCGTCTACGCTGTCGATATCTTCCCGATGACAGGATTCGTTTGCGAGAAGGATTTTTCTTAATTTGGTTACAAATAAGAAAACACGAGAGTAAGCCTTTTTTTAATGAAAATTTAAATATACTTCTTCAAAATAGTATTTTTTGATCGTGTGATTTTTTTTTCATTTTCAAAGCAATGAGTTAATTGGGTTAATCAACTGAGGCGCACGATTGTGTCTTCTGATTTTTATTAAAAATAAATGCAGTTAGGATTATGAATAACAAATATAAATATTATTATAATGTAATAATATTTGTATCTGTTATATGTTAAATTATATATTGTATATTATTATATGTTAGTTATAATGTTACATTTTTAAATTATTTCAGTTGGAGTAACATATATTTTTTTGATCACAGAGAAAGAGAGAAAGAAATGCGACGCATACATACTTGATGCATGTGTATTTATTGTCTCTCCGGATTTCGCCATCAGTCGCACCATGTGTCGCTGACCACGGCGGAATTCGCTTCCGCTCCAATTTCGCGGCGTTTCGCCGGAATTTTGTCTTAGCGAAGAAAAAACATCGGCGCGAACACGCTATTTCTCGCATGTACATTATTCCTTGACCTCCTTAATCGGATCCTCATTGCTATTTCTCGAACAGCCATCAGCTGTTCCCTTGGGGAATTCCTAAGAGATTCTTTCGCGACATCCGATGAGGTAAAGGTTTTCCGAGAAAAGCGATGAAAAATCGTTAACGCTTGTTTCGCTTTTAAGTAAAGCGCCGCAAAAAATGTTGAGTGTTCACTCACGCGATGTTCCGCGACGATACACGTGCCGTTCGAGGAAAGCGTGACCGAAAGGAAATTTATACTTTTTGGACGAATCGCGCAGGTGGTTTCGAAAGCAGGAAGTTAAGCGAATTAAATTTCAGATTAGGCACGGGGGCACATGAAAAGATCAGTTTAATGTCACAAATGAATATTAAAGTGATAAATGAAATCGTGCGGCGAGGAAGAAATTCAAATTAAGGCGATATATGCTGACGCGATGGTCAAACTCCATAATATCGCAATTTTATCGACGATTTGTGCGTATGTATGTACATGCGGTATTGATTGTAATTTCTAATCTGTAGCCTGTAGTCTAATTCAACGAACCATTCACATTGTTTCTTCAACTGTAATCTACTAGTCTAGCCACCGTAATTACGTAAGTGCGAATTGCAGAGTAACTCATAACAAGCGCCTGTTGTCTCAACTTAACAGCTCTAGTCGCCACATAGAGCTAAGAAATAGTAAAGAGAATCTGAATTATAATTTTTTTTTGTTTTTGCCATGAACTCCGAGCCAGACTAGTATTAATGCGTATACTTTAATTCTGGAAAAGAATTTCCAAATCTTGAATTAAAGTAATATGTAGAAATATCGACACAAAAATTATTGCGTTTTATGGGTAAAACAGACGACTCCAGCATCCCCTTAAACTTTGAAACAATAAGTCTGTTTTTTATTTCTGAATTGGACTGCATTAGAACGTTCTTTTTGTCAAATGTCAAACATATATTTATTTTACTTTAAATGCAGAGCGTACACTAGTTCAGGTATAGAAAACAGACCCAGATAATAGAATCTTATAAATAACGAGAGAGCGCAAACTTGTTACATTGAAATTGTGTATCGCGCCGAAGGTGCCTCATAGAATCGCTGATTTCACAAAAGCGCCAATAGGTAATACCTCCGCCGTAACAAGCGGCTACATTTTCAAAGTTACGCCGACGATAATAATCGCCGTACAATAGTACCTGTCCACCGTCGCAAATTATTTCATCATGTTTTTAGCGTGTTCAGCGACGATTGTCATTTCCACACACACACACACACACACACACACACACATGCTTACAAAGGCGATAGGCTAGCATTCGTCACCCATGCCCGTCATAATCATCTCCCCCTCCCCCCTTCCATCTTCCGCTCCGCTCTGACATTGGTTGCTCTCGCGCCACATCGGATCGACATAACGCATCGCGTGAGTGGCGAATCGATCTCATCATCGTCGTTCGCGCCGCTCTGCGACCGGCCTCTGGCCACCCTACCACCGATCCTTTTTCCTGTCCAGCCTCCAATGGTCGGCGCTCTATCCCTCCTCGGGGTGTTCCTCGACACATCCCTCCGGGGTTCGAAGGTCACGGTAATGCTGCTGTCCGGCGCGGCGGCGCCCCGCGGTGTGCGCCGCGCGCCGCGCGAACCTGAAGAGGCCTCGTTCGGAGCAGAGCGGGTACGTGCCAGGGGTAGGGAGGCTATATATAGCACCGCCGAGGAGGAGCGCTCCCTCAGTGCTCTCGCGCGCGTCCGACTTCGAGGTACACGACGACGGGTCTTCCGCAGATTGCGCAGTCCGGTCTCTTCTCAGGGTTTCTTCCTCTCGTCGAGTGTGCCTCCTCTCCGAGGAGAAATCCTTTTGGCGCGATCCGCGCGGCTGCGCGAAGATAAGTACCAGACTGTCAGATTCTGCGGAACACGTATAGTCGCTGACTTTCACCGATTCTCGAAGCGACGGTCCTTGAAGGAGAAAGACACGTGGCTCGATGTGTTCTCTTCGTTGTCGCGTTAGAAAACGACACAGTTTGACGGATTGCACAGTTTGCCTAAGTAAACTTCAAACCTTGGGATCTCCAAGAAGTGACATTTGAAGAGGAGGTCTGCGCGTCGAATCTGGAAGTATAAATACAAAATATCCAGAACGCGGGGAGCGATCGACTCTTCGAGATATCTTTGATGGGATCTATTCAGTGCCATTGTACGCACTGAACTTCAATACCTATACAGATGCTCCGATCGTTCTCAAGATCTTGACGATCCTCGGAAGGGAAATTTATAGCGGAGGTACCGCGTGGAGATCTCTTGCGCCATCACGGACTCCGATCATAGTCGGAAATCGTTTACTGCGCGCGAGTTTCAGCTGCTCTCGCGCGACGAGTGCCTGCAGATTCCTCGGGGGCTTTCCCAGTGCCGACCTGCTCTGATGATTCCCCCGGCGGAACGTAATTCGTCGAATGTATTTACACATCTTGAAATGGCCACAGTACTTCGAAGCGGAGCGTGCGGATAAGTACATTTGATATAGAGAGACCCGTGCGAACGTGTTGTCCTCGGCGCGTAGTGTCACGTCGATGCTGCACGAGGGAGGACGTACGACCGGATAAGGGAAAACCTCGGACTCTTGTAATCGACGTGTCGCGAGAAGGAAATCCATCTGGCAGCTAGCATGACAATGGTCGTCAATAAGATCAACATGTCGTCGTATTCCGTGCCGCGGCGTACCTTCTTCTCGGGTCTTCACACGAAGGTAAGAGCTCCGCGCATGTCGGAAGAGTTACAACTCGTCAATTATGTATATTGACATGCATATTATTAAAAATTTTTTATTATATTATAATATGTAATCTATAATTATTGTAATATTATAATATGCATATCATAATTTCTGATGATCTCGTTACCTGCACATCCTGATTAAATGGTTCTTCATCGCGTAATTTAATTCTCTTGAAAATATCAATTCTGAAATGTAGGTTTCAAATTAACTCCACAAGTTTAAATAATTATATTCTTTAAATTTTAGAAATCGTGATTTAGTAATTGATTTAATCTTCGAGAACTGTTTGCTTGAATTGAAAAAAATTTTGTCTACTCACAAATTGCGAAAAAAAATTAAATTCAATTATTAATAATTCTCGTTATTTTTATATCCTTCCAAGAAGTCATCGAAGTCTCGACGTTGTATCTTTGAAAAACTCAATTTCGTGTCGCAGTCGCAGAAGTAAAATTAATTTTATATATTCCGGATTATCTGCAGTATATATATTATCACAATTGCATTAAAAGCTTATCGAACGTAATTGGATCACGATTCGTGTTGGGATCAAATCGAACGGACATTGATTGGCCGTCTTCTTCATAGCCCGACGAAGAGCGTTTTTTTTATTTTCGGGGAGAGATATAACAAGTGTGCGTTGTCACGATGTATTTTTCACGGCGACTTTCCTGGCGCATCGCCACGTTTATGCCCGACTTTTCTCAGGCGGGCTGCAATCTTTTTTAGTTCGTGCCGAATCTTGCTAACAGCTGGCGATGACTTATGTAATGACAACTAACTCTCTGAGTCCCTCCCCTACTGGTTTATTAAATTCTCGTGTGCAGCTGCGAAACGATTACTTTTTTCTGCCAACGCGAACGTCATTCGGAATTACGCGTGTCGTTTTATTTGTTGCGAAATGGAAACGCCAATTATCTCCTGTGTTGATACAAAACAACTTTTTCATCGTGGTATATTAATACGTAGAAGAGATCTTCCGCGATTCAGAGGGGAAGGGGGGGATGGGTATTTCCGTACAATTCTCATAAAAGTCGACAAAACTGAAAAATTAGTGCTTTTTTTCGAATGCATTTTTGCTAAAAGATTCAAAGGATTTTAAAAAATAAATCGTATTAATTAATGTACCTATAAATTAAAAATAAATATTTTGAAATATTTTAATATTTATCAGTTTCTCTCACAGCAATTAATTCAATCTTTTTCTATTTTAGTATTTATTGAATATACATTTATTTATTTCGTATTTCAGCATTAATATATTATATTGTTTAATTTAAGATTTTTATATGTAGCTTATTGAGTATTTATTTCATAAGATATATATTAAAAGAATCAAGAGATTTTCTGTATTTTTTGTTGTCACTTTGCTGTTTACCTTGATTTAGTACGATTTATTAAAGACACTTTATATTTCTAAGTTAAATTTTTAATCAATATTACCGAATTTATTATGTCATTAGGATCGGAAATTTGCAAGTGAAATAATTATAGGATCTTTTTCAAGTACGCAGTTTCGCAGTACGCAAGTAAGTGTTTTCTTCGCAAAGACTTACGGCTGCATATCTCTCTCTCTCTCTCTCTCTCTCTCTCTCTCTCTCTCTCCGCAACGTTGTATATTTAGGTTTCGTTATATTTAGAATAGTTTCCTCGTAATAGAAAAGCATTTGTCTCGTCCGGTTCGGCTACGTCTTTCACGCTCCATTATTTTTCATTCAGTTTTACCGCGCCGAGACGGACACGTCGTTAATAATAACTTTGCGTATATTACTCGTTTTTGTTAAAATGACGATGGCGAGGAGATTCATGCATTATATTTAAAAATATACCTCAATATAAAATAATTGACAAGCTTAATTAGACACTCTTGGGCTATTCTATATACGTATATTCTATATACGTTGTTAGATTTTAGATACAAATGTTTTTTTTTTAATAATATATTGTACATAATTTTCGCTGAACTACTTTTTAAAAAATTATGAAAAATTTAGAGAAATTTTTGCGACTGTCCGGGCACACGTCCATAGGAATTTTTTTCTCGGCGGGGAAATTAGAAGGCGTCACGGGACACGTGGGGCCGCATTGTTGAATTGAATAATAGGACTCATGGCACGAGCGACGATCGTTCCTCATTAAGCGGATGCCCCGTGGCCGTTGGGACGACATTAATATCAATATATCGCACTCGAAAGAGAGGAAGAGAGGAAGGATGTTGATGTACTGATACCCGCGGCAGGCGGCGTTTCGTTCTTTCATGCGTATATGCGAACAAGACGAGACCTCGCATTAGGAAAACTGCCGGCGGCTGAAAAAGCGAAAAGCTGAAGGAAGTCGGGAATTTTTGTAGACCGCGGCCGTTTTCTACCGCGAGGCTTACGTAAATCATTCTTTTTCAGCCTGTCATATTAGAAATACGCGGCTATTCCTATAATTCGAGGAGATTTGCGCAAATGCTTTACATACGTCCGTGTTTTTTTAGAGATAAATTGATTCCCTGCTTCTTTTCTTTCAATTTTAACCAAAAAGCATATTTATCTTATATATTATATCGACGTAATATATCTATTTCCGTCAGATGCATGCGAAAATCTTATGTGAAATTTGTTCAGAAATGCTCTCTTAAAATTATAAAATTATATCTTTTATTTAAAATTAAATGTTTCGCATACGCAATTAAATGTTTCATTGACGCTATTATCTTTTTTTAAATACTTTTTTTGGGGGGATTAATCCGATTCATGTTCCGATCCCATTCAGTGGCCTTAACGTGCGAGTGAATCAGCCGGGGCCAATTTTTTTCTCGCTGAGTCTGGAGAAAGAACGCCTCGTTCTCGCGCGTGCGCGCGCAAAGGAGCGTCATAAAAGCGACTCCGTCATAAGAGAGGCATAAAAGATTCATTTTGCTGGAGAGGTGACCCCGCCGACCCGGCATCCGCTCTCCGTGGGCGGCACTCTCGGATCTTTTCCCTCTGCACCCTTTCACAGTCTCTTGCTCCTCTCCGTTCCTTGTCTTCGTTCAGAAACGTTAACTAGAGTCGTCCGCGAGAGAGAATTTTAATATTAAGACTCTTTAGTACTCGTGAGATAAATATTCGACATTTCATTAGCATTCCTGATTTGGAACAAGTAATGTCTTAAATTAATAACTTTATTATGAAATTAAATTAACCAACTGACCTTTACCTCCTCTCCGCCGGGGAAATTATTCATGCACAAAACAGATTTATTGTACGTTGCAGAACATGCCTATTTCATTTTTATACCAAACTCGTTCCGTATTTTAAAATTTGCAAGTCATTTTTCCTCTTGTTTTATTTTTCGGAAAAGATAATATCGAATGATTAGAAAATTACAGTTTATCTTTGATTTTTGTCCCTATTTATGACTCTGTCCTCGACTCTGTCCCTTTCCTTCATTCTTTATCGAGGTGAGCACGTGCAACCGAAAGAAAAACAGGTTGGGGGAAGGAGAGTGGTCTTGTTGAGACAATCAAGCGGTTGGTCATTAAGCGTAACTCGCATTAAATTGCCGAGAGTTGGGAGATAGAATGCCGGTTTTCGTACGACGCCTTCGGCTGAAATTTATATTTGTTTTTTAACTACCTCCGTGTCTCTCGATCCGAGTTGCCTTTGTCTTAATGGTAATTTAAAATTGCCCATTTAGCCTGTAATTTTCTTCCTATTTACTCTCACACTTTTATGTAATATAATCACTGAGAGATTTATTAATGAAGATTTGCATTCGAAACCGGCATCAGTTAGGTAGTTAGTTACAGTAGAGGAACTCTCGTTATTAGACGATTTTATTAAGCGACGGAAATCCGATTACAGTCACCCTATATTACTTTATTTATCGTTTAAAGGGATGTGTCATTAATTCGCGAGGACGTCCTTGAACACCTAGCTTCCTCGCTTCTTACGGAATCGGACGGATAAAGCGCTTTCCTCGCAAACGCTATACCGCGCGTCGGGCCGGAGAGACCGGATGCGTTTAATCTGCGGCTATAATACGACGAGACGGGGGGGAAGACCATCTGGCTTAACAATACGTATCATTCACATTTGAGGATTAGTGCAGTTGCAGTCGCGGCGAATTCCGCGGGCTCGCCGCGAAGCGTTCCGGAGATAAATAAGAGACGTCCAGCAATCGCGTATAGCCGTGACTTAATGCCGCAACTATTACCAATAAGAGCGTTTTACGTGAGACGACGTAAGAGCGTTCTAGGACTCTAAATATGCAATCTTGATCCTCGTTAAACGTATTTACATAAATACAGTACTTCAGCATCATCCAATCGTTTGCACTTGACTCGATCTTTGTGAGCAGTGATGAAGAAGGGCTATTTCGAGCAATGGTAATCTCACTATGACGGTAATTAATATCCACGTCGGACAAGCGGAACAACGTAATAACTCTTTACGGCGATAAAATCTAAAATCTAAATCGCGGAGTTATATTAATAGTAGCGGCTGTATTGCAAGATGTCGAAAAATTATTTTTTTTCAAAGGTCACTCGCACAGATCTTGTCTTTAAAAAGCGGCCGAAAAAAATCCAAATTGCGTCTCCTGAAGTCAGCGTTCTTTTTTCTTTGTTTACCAATTATTAATTTCGACGAAAGCGTGTCTCGTTTGTGTGTTTGCGTAGTTACACCGATCACGCACATCGGGGGTGTACAGGTCGGTGTGTTGAGATGTAAACCTGACTGGTGGGCTGGTCAACTGCTGGCGTCGAATATCGCCTTCGCGACGTAGTCCAGCCATCGAATCGTATTTCTGTTGTCGCAAAAATGTCACGCAAATCGCATGCAACGCGACACGCGCGCGTCTCTCCGGCTCCGAAGAGAAAATGTCATTCCTGAGTCATCGGTTTTGGAACAGAAAAGAGAGAGAGAGAGAGAGAGAGAGAGAGAGAGAGATATGTGTGTTACCGGTAATAATATCCGCCGTTTCGTAGCGCGCCGTGTTGCTTA